GGCTGTGACTACTCTGTGTCCTCCTCAGGGAGCTGTGACCACCCCAAACCCCTCAGGAGGCTGTGCCTGCCCCAACCCCCTGGAGGGTCTGTGTAGTCTCTCCCCAGGCACAGGGAAAAAGCTATGGACAAACATAGGTCCCACTGAGCACGGAGCAAAAGAGGTTTTATTGGGAATTGGTATGAAACAAGCACAAAATGTGGCTTGTGCTGGTGTTCCACATGGCACAGGTGTGAAAATGGATTGGTTATATCCCCGTTTTCAGGCTGATACAAAAAGGAATACAAAATTAACTCTTTACACCTATTTGGTGTAAATTAGGTTCTACAACATCAGGTACCTCTAATAGCAAACAGCAACAGGGATTGAGGCCAAATCCTTATTCCCTGTGCAAGTTATTCCTCACCCCAGTGGAAAAAAAGAGGGATAATACTCCTAATCCTACCTTTCTCCATCACATTAAATATAAATATCTCTGTGGCTCCCAAAAGCTTAAAGTAGTAACTCTGGGCAGAACTCAGAATGAGCAGTGAACACTGTCAGTGCATAGCCAAAAACAGAGCACGTTGCATTGCTGTGTATAAATTCACACTTCATCATCCTCCTAGAAAACATTCTCAAAACATATGTTGCTTCTTGTTGCATTGTTGAATCGTTCCCAAAGTGTGTGAGATGCAGCTTGGTTAAGTATGGGATGAGTAATGAATGTTTAATGTGATTAAAAGTCTTTCAGGTAACTTAAAAGTTCTTCAGGAAAAGAAACAGCCTCACAGGTTTTAGAACAAGCAGTAACAACTTTTTTTTTTCTTTTTGAAGAATAAAATTAATTTACAACATTAGTTTATCAAGAAAAATGTACAGTCTTTTCAACTATATACTTTACAAGATGCTTCAGATCTGCTGTGTCTTTCTATGGGAGGTATATCTTACAGAATTATTTGGCTGCATTATAAGGCAATCAGTGAAAACCACTTTCTTCCACAAGAAACCAGTCACAGGCAAGATGTAATCAGGTGGTTATTTGCAGACAATTTCTGCTGACAGCAGCCAAACTATGATGCATCATCTTTATTAAAATGTAAAGAAATGTGCTTGAAAGAGAAAGGCGTAAACTTGTATCCTCCCCCGGAGTAGAATTTGTTCTGAAATTCCACCCTGAAACGAGAGAAAACCACGAGAACATGTACATGAATCCAAGTTGGTATGGGACAGAACTGTACAACACAAGAGGCAGAACAAACCCAACCCTAATCCTCTCACTTGTTTTCTGTGCAGCTATTTAACCTTCCCCTGGCTAATTTCATGTTTCTCAGGAGACCCAAACCCACTGAGCTGTGCTGTAATCACTCATTTCTTTCTCCTGAGCTGTGCCTCATGTTCATTCACCATCCCTGGAGGTTTTCAAGCTGAGACTGGATGTGGCACTTAGTGCCACGGTCTAGTAACCACAGTAGGGTTGGACTTGATAATCTTGGAGGTCTTTTCCAACCTGGTTGATTCTATGATTCTGTTTGACCAAATAAATTACAGAGTGAAACCATCCAGTGAGATAACCAGACAGCAATTAAAACTACTTACTACTATTATACATTACTAAAAGCTGCATTACTATAAAGAAATGTACTCACATAGTTTGCACCAAAATCAACTCTGAATGTAACTGACCTTAATGATAATAAGCCAATGTAATACTTGAATTCATGGAAAATCACACTCAACTAAAAGAGCACTGAATGTGATTAAATATATTTATTACAGAGCATGAGGCTGTTGAATTTTAACTTTTCTTGTTCATAAGGCACCTAATATTTTGACACAAAAATTCCTTTTAAACCAGCTGAAGTGGTATAAAGCACAAAGGAACTTACCAGTGAAGTCGTATAGCATGGAGAAAAGCAGAAAGGCCCTCCATGACCAACAGAATAAAAACTGTCAGAATCACAAACACAGCTGTAACAGGGACTAGTAGCAAGACCCCATAGGTTGTATCCACACGAAGGCCCTTCCTCAGCACCATCTGCCACAGAACTTCTGACAACTCTGTTGGAAACCAAAAGGTTTTCATCACTGATATTGATAGTACATTCACCCAGTGAGCCACTCTGACCTGTTCACCCCAGTTTCACCAGTACTACAGGACCTGCCTAACATGGGAACTGTAAACATCCTCCACCTCAGGGAGTTGCTTAAAGGTTCATCTCAGTGTCAAAACCAGATCTACTAATGGCAACATGAGTTGGACTAGATGATCCTCAAGGTTCCCTTCCAGCTTTGATTATTATTCTGTGCACATTTCACACTATGACACTAAGACTTTACAAAGTGCCTATAAACCTTCCAAACTGGGCAAAGGATGGAAAATAAATGGTATTGTGCCTAATAATACACTCCTGTGTGGTGTAACACTGCAGTCATATCATCAGTCTCCTTACACACAAAGCAATCAATTAAGACAATCACTAGAATCCAAACAGTAAGTCACAATTTTAGTCTGGAGACTTCCATAGCTCATGATTACCTTAAATAAGGAATAATTTTAACATTAATTTCGTAGTAGTATCACTTAAACAGGTAAACCTCCCCCTGACAGGATTAAAAATCAAGACATATAAAGAACAGTCAACCAAAGAAAACCACTTACGTGCGTGAGCAAGACTCAATGCCCAAAGTCTCAGGTATGAGGCTGTGTTAGAAATGCAGCCCAGACAGTATTCAATGGTGTGAATCACTTGGTTCATAAAAACATCTGCAAAATTAAACTGCAAGATAAAAACACATTTGTAGCCATGTGAACAACATAAAACAAAAACATTCATCTGCAAATCTTAGTATACAGGGAAGGAAAATTCCACTGAAGGGCAATACATTGATTTTGTACCAAGTAAAAAAAAAAAAAAACTGCCATGTATAAGATGCTATTTACAGAGACAACATTAAAAAAATCAGATGCTACAGTTTTCCACTTAGAGTTTTCAATTATTATATCACATTCTTTGTGGAAAACATAAATTGCATTCATTATCAGCAAATAATTCAAGAGTTTTCAATTAGTATATCACATTCTTTGTGGAAAACAAATTGCATTCATTATCAGCAAATAATTGGGAAAACTAAGTACTAAAACCAGCCCTGGTTCTAATTATCATAGAATCATATGATGATATATGATATCTATGATCTTATCTCATATTATTATCATGTATGATAACATCATTATATTATTATAGGATAATAATTCCCATTCTTTTCACGTTTACAATGTCAATTTCTGCAGCTTTAAAAGCAGGATTATCACTGTTACTACTGACAGAAAAATAACAACACAAATACTGTCAGCTGCAAATATCTGTGCTTGTTGCTATTAGTCTCAAGACTAATATTACTGCACATTTCAACACTTAGTTTGTATGAAATTGTGACACATTTTGTTTCAGCAAACAATGCTTGTCTTTTCTATATGTAAGAAGCAGAAGTTACTACCCCAGTGAGGCAGGAGCTGTACATATTCTGCACATTAGGGAGCTGAAGCAATTTTTTGTCTTTCAATTCACATGAGATCAGTGGAATTTGCCAAGACCTTTAAAAATTTACCCAAACTAAACAGCAGCAATAGCTGAGGCCTAGGAGTGTTGCCCAACCCCCCCCCAGCAATAATCCTCATCACAAGATGTAATGTGCAGACATAAAAAGACTTTTGTCCAGATAAAAAGCCAAGATTAGCTAACAGGAAGCTGAGCAATCACCACCTCACCTTAAAAATCCATAAAACCATACAAACCTCAGGATTTTTACCCCACTCTTCAATGTAAGAAAACCTGAACTCTCAGATGCAGAGTCCTGTTTGCAAATAAAGCACTTTTCCTGTTCTCCACTGCAGATTGTGGTTTACTGTAGCAGCCTGAACACACCCAGAAATCATGATCCAAAAGCAACAAATAAAAATAAACAAACTGCATTCAGCATCAAGTTAGCAAAGGTTCAGCTGATTTTCCTGAAAGCTTCCAGGCATGACCAGGTTCTCGGATTGATTTCCCACTTCTGATCTGCTTTTAATGACAAACTAGAGAGTAAGTAAAACCATTACCTCCTCTGCATCCCCCTCTCTCTGCCCACTGTCCAGGTGACTGCTGCCTTCTTCCACATCATGACACCTCAGCAGAGAAAGTTCTTCTTCACTTTCTTTTCTGACAAGCTTGTAGCCACTCTACAAAATGGAAATTATCATCTCTTCAAGCAGGATCCCAGTGTCATTTTTTAAACTTACTTAAACCAGTTGCAAGCAAAAGCAAAAAGATTTAAAAGGAACAAAGTACTATGATGTATTGCAGTAAAAAACTTTCCAAGATGAGCAGAAACTAGTGATAGGGCATGGAATGTTAAGGTGTTGGAATGGAGCGAGGAATGGAATGTTAAGGTGTTGGAATGGAGCTTAGAGATCATCTAGTCCCTGCCCTGGGCAGGGACACCTCCCACCAGAGCAGGATGCTCAAGGCTCATCCAACCTGGAATGAACACTGCCAGGGCTGGGGCAGCCACAGCCTCCCTGGGCAACCTGTGCCAGTGTCTCACCACTCTCACACAAAAAACCCTTATCCTTACTATCTAATATAATTTGACCTTCTTTCAATCTATACCTGTTACTCCTTGTCCTGTCACTATAGTTCCTAACAAAGTGTCAAGGAGTAATGGGATCAAACTGGACAGAGGGGAAATGAAGGTTAGATACACAGAAGAAATTCTGTTACTCTGGTGAGGCTCTGGCACAGGTTGCCCAGAGCAGCTGTGGTTGCCCCATTCCTAGAAGTGTTCCAGGCCAGGTTGGATGGGGCTTGGAGCAACCTGGGCTAGTGGGAGGTATTCCTGCCCATGGCAGGGGTTGGAACTAGAAGGTCCCTTCCAATCCAAACCATTCCATGAAATATGCACTAAGCACATTATGTGCAGTACAACATCAGCTGAATTCTACACTGAGGAAACCTGTGAGTGTATCAGCACTTACCCTGTACATTCTTATGCCTCGACCTCCGCTGTGCAACCAGTATAAATAAAGTGGTTTCCCAAACAGCATTACAGGAACACAAAGGAAAGCAACACTAAGTAAAAACCTCTGCAGAGCAACCTGTTTGAGGGGGGAAAAATATTAGATTAGATCACAAAATCAAGAGTGGGCAAAGCCATCCCATTTTCCTTTACAGTATTATCTGCACAGGGAACACAGTAAGATCACTACTCACCTGGCCAGTGTAGCTCTCTGTTCCTCCAGCAAGAAACAGGAACATGTTAATGAACTGAATCAGGATACTGGGAGCAGTTGTAGAGTCCTCTGCAGAGTATGCCAACCATTTAAAGAAGATCATGAACACAAGGTAGCCAAAGATGCACATCATGAATAAAAGTTCAGGAATAAAAACTAAGTAAATATTATACATCTTCTTGAAATGCCTAAAAGATAAAAAGGGGGATGGGGGATTAAAAATAAGTGTTAAAAAGATCAACATGGCCCAAATAGGATTTCAGTGAAACAAAGCAGTACTCAGCACTGCCTGAGATTTCAATCCAGAACTGATTTCTTCATACTCAGTGACATCTCAATCAAGTATTTCAAGTGGAAATTAAGACATAAAGATAAATGTATCTTTCTTTAGCAACAAGTGAAATAAAATCTTGTATTTAAAATAAATGTCTTCAGGTTTTTTGGCACAATCCTGATCCATTAATAACGTCCAGAAAGACCTCTGCACTACTGTTTCTTCTTAAGAACAGTTTTCACAATTACTGTTTTCAAAAAATGACTCCAGTTTCTCTTAGCAGATTAACTGTTATAATTCAAGACTTGACAAAAAATACACCGTTAATATTCTTATAATTTCTTGTACTTACAAGTGGTTAAATAGCCCCAACACAACTCCAAATGTCATGTGAGTCACCCCAAAAATCACAGACATTTTCATCTTGAAAGAGTTTAAGAAAGTGAGACGGTTGCTTGCCAAGTTCCATATCTGAGGAAGAAAACACAAACCCAGCATTAAAAAGGGTGTAACAGAAGATATTGTAGAATCATAGAATTTAAGGGTTGGAATGGACCTTACAGATCATCCAGCCCCAACCCCCTGCCCTGGGCAGGGACATCTCCTCACTAGATCAGGTTGCTCAAGGCTCATCCAGCCTGGCCTGGAACACTGCCAGGGCTGGGGCAGCCACAGCCTCCCTGGGCAACCTGGGACAGTGTCTCACCACCCTCACAGGGAGAAACTTTTTCCTGATATCCAACCTAGACTTTCCCTCCTTCAGTTTGAACCCATTACCCCTTGTCCTGTCACTGCAGTTCCTAACAAAGAGCCTCCCTCCACATCTCCTTGTAGGCCCTTCAGATATTGAAAAGTTGCTCTGAGGTCTCCTCACAACCTTCTCTTCTCCAGGCTGAACAGCCCCAACTCCCTCAGCCTGTCCTCACAGGGGAGATGCTCCAGTGCTCTTAGCAACTTTGTGGCCTCCTCTTGACTTGCTCCAACAGTTCCATGTCCTTCTTATGCTGAGGACACCAGAACTGTGTGCAGTATTCCAGGTGGGTCTCAGCAGAGCAGAGGGGAAGATTCACCTCTTTTGCCCTGCTGCCCACACCTTTTGATGCAGCCCGAGATACAAATGGCTTTCTGGGTTGGATTATTGATTTCCTAATCTGGGAGAATGAAAAGAATCAACAGTTTGGCTCTATTATCACCTCACTGCTGGTGTCAATTCCTTCTCCACCCAACCTGTAGCTGTGCCTGGGATTGCCACAGCCCAGATTTGGGACCCTGCACTTCATTTGGTTAAACTTCATAAGTAAACCAGTATCCTTTCTCTACTGGAGACCAAAATTCTACCTCAAATAGGGATCACCACTGAAATTTGGGATTTGTGAAAACAATTAAATCTTCGAATTGGCAAAAGAAAAGCTCTTGTTGAAAGGAGAATGCAAACAGAAATGTGGTTTTTTTCATAGTAAGACTTATCCTTCTAATACACATACCAAAACCTGATATACAAATGACTGATCATCACAAAGGGATAATTGATGAGAACTAAACTAACCGGATCGATTCCAAAGGGATAAGCTCCATTGTATACACCAGAAATATTTGGATCCAGTGCTAAAAATTGATGAGACTTCAGATCCTCCTTGCTGCAGTGAAAGAAAAACCCAATCAGGTCTGATAGTGTGTGAACATAGTGACAACATACACTTTCCCCTAGAAAATATATTAATTGGAGACAAACTAATGCATCAGTATAAATCCCTAAAAAATATATTAACTGGAGACAAACTAATGCATCAGTATAAAGACAAACCACAACAGGATAGTTAAAACAGATGACCAGAAGGGCTAAATAAACTGTTGCAGGAAGAACATTTCTGGTTAGTTAAAACAGGTGACCAAAAGGGCTAAACTGTTGCAGGAAGAACATTTCTGGTACATGGTATAGCAAACAGACATTGCTACTCACTGCCAAACCTTCTCAAACATGGCTGAAACATTCCATCCAGATCCAAAAATATTTAATGACTTTGAAAAACAGTCATTATAGATCAATCCAGTGTATATGGAGAACAGCCCCATCAGCAAAATCACGTATCTGCCTTCAAATATCATCTTCACTATCTGTAAGTGTTGGAAAAAAGAAAGAATAGAGAACATGAAATGCTGTGTGAGCAGTGGTTATCTAGACATTTCTAAGAGAAACACATTTTTGGACATACAAAGACACCTAAACCCTAAAAAGCTCTAAAAACTAAACACTTAAAAACTAAGAGTTCTTGTGAGCAGCCATTAGGAATCTGAGCTTCCATGGCACACACTGAGGCTCCTCTCACTGGCATTGTTGCACTAACAAATAATCTTTGAGTCATTTCTTTCCTGGAGCTAATTTACAACCAGTTACACATTTGCAGCCACTCTTAGTTAAATATAATTGGAGATGCAAGTGTTCCTGCATTCCGACCCCACGTGATTAAAAAATGGCTAAAATGAAGCAGAATTAGTCTCAAACTGCAACTCCTTTTAGAAACACTAGAAGGATGGAATTTGAAAACCATTTCTTCCTCAGGCTGTTGCTGTACCCACATTCTGTACAGCACTCCCATCACTGAGCAGCCCTGGCACAAGGAAAGGCAAGTCCAACAGCATCAACTCATTGTTGTCTTTCATTCCAAACTTATTATTTACAAGTCCAACAGCATCAACTCGTTGTCTTTCATTCCAAACTTATTATTTCTGCCCTTTCCAAAAAAGTGAATAGTTTAAGATGTCACATTAATCTCAAGGAATATGGTGAGTTTAAACACAAAGTCCTCAAAGTCCACTCTAACACCTGTGCACTGAACAGCACTTTTCAGAAACATAGTGACTACTGAAGTGAAGTAAATGATCTGTAATTCCTCTTACCTCATCTTGTGATCTTTTAAACCTAGGGTGGTTTTCATACAGAATTATCAGGAGTGCAAACAGGAACATTAGCAAACCATGGCCAAAGTCTCCAAACATAACAGCAAACAAGAAGGGGAAAGTGATGATGGTATAGAGAGCTGCAAGGACAACACAACACATTTCAGGCACAGCACAGCAGCTCTTCTGTCTGCATCATACCTCAGCAATTCAAGACTTTAATCTCTCAAAGTTTTCAGCTTTAAGTCTGAAAGACATTTCCCCCACCTAATAGACCTTTTCCCCACACTTTAAGTTTAAACAGTTTGTTTACTGTGTATCCCATAGCAATGGCAACGTCCCAGCTGAGCTCTAGCTGCCAGTTCTGAGGATAATATGAGCCCAGGAAAGAAAAAACAGTTCTTTCTCCATATGTGTTTTGGCTTTGTATTATAATGTACATCTCCTGCACAGCATGACATAATCAACATATCTACAGGAATATATTTAACTAGTCTATCCAAGCTGGATTTTTTTCAAGTGATGAGCTCTGTGCTTCACTGGGATCAATACCATTACCAAAGTTTTGCCTTTTTACCCCTAAACAGCAAAAAAAAAAAAAAATTCTACAGCTATTATCAGCATCTTTAATGCTAAAATAACTCAGCAAAATCATATCTCATCACTACCTGGAGCATCATGTGCACTTCTGATGAGCTACTGAAACTTGAAAACAACTGTGTGGTTGTCACCATTTTGCCTTTACTAGTGAACAATTCAGCAAAGTGTTTAAATACTTAGTAGTTAAGGACAGCACAGCTCACACTTCAGCTCTCAGAAGGACCAACCTGGATTCACTTCCCCATAGCTTCCAACTCCATAAGCATCAACAATGTTCTGGAACCCTGAGGTGAATTTATTTGTACGTATCAATGTTGGAGGAGGTTGTGTTGTTGGGATGGTATTTATGAATGAAGAAATTGTAGCTCCACTCTTCCTCTAATTACAGAAAGAAGATACATTTACATAAGAATACTGTTAATGTAATCAAAGCGAAAACATTTGCTCTATCAGCAGTTTCATTGATCCTGAAATACCACTAAATTAAGCCCCAAGGTTAACATTCATCCCTTTGTGCCTCCTCTAGAAACAGATTGTGTACAGTGTTCTAATCCCAACCTCGTATGAAACACCAGATGAGACTCATCAGTCAGTATTATAAAACAAAGATTTGCTATTAAAATTCTCTCTTACAAAACAAAAGCCAACACAAGGGAACTGGCACCTTCTGCATGACTGCAAATAGCTCTGTGAGCCCAGCTGGATTCAGGTCCAACACAGAAGTTATTCACAAAGAAAACCAACACACAACACTAACTGAAGGCTGTGCTTGTAAAGAAATTCATGAATCAGCCAGGGTGGAAAAGATCTCCAAGATCATCCAGTCCAACCCTACTGTGGTTACCAGACCATGGCACTAAGTGCCACATCTAGTCTCAGCTTGAAAACCTCCAGGGATGGTGAATCTACCACCTCCCTGGGCAGCACATTCCAATGTCTGAGCACTCTCTCCATAAAAATCTCTTCCTAATATCCAACCTAACCCTCCCCTGGCAGAACTTGAGTCTGTGCCCTCTTGTCCTGCTGCTGGTTGCCTGGGAGCAGAGACCAACCCCCACCTGACTCCAACCTCCTGTCAGGGAGTTGCAGAGGGTGAGAAGGTCTCCCCTGAGCCTCCTCTTCTCCAGGCTGAACACCCCCAGCTCCCTCAGCCTCTCTTCATGGCACTTGTGCTCCAGTCCCTTCACCAGCCTCGTTGCTCTTCTCTGGACCTGCTCCAGCACCTCAATGTCCCTCCTGAGCTGAGGGGCCCAGAACTGAGCACAGGATTCAAGGTGTGGCCTCACCAGCACCGAGTCCAGGGGCAGAATCACCTCCCTGGTCCTGCTAACCATACTGTTCCTGACACAAGTTCACAGAGACCCAGACCAGCCTGTGCCTACTTCCAGTCTGGTTTTAATAATTCTTTTCTTTCCTTATCTGTCTAATTAGTTCAAGACAGAAGTTTTATCAGCAGTGAGAATTCAGCTGACTTACTGATCCTTCCTCCAAGGCAAAGCGCAAGTTCTGCAGATCAGCCACTGGGCACCAAACCTCAGCAATTAAACACTTATTTGTCACATCAAAACTGCACAGGTTGAGCACGTGGTAAATGGCTTTCATCTTCTTCACTTGGATAACCCACGTATAGATGGATTTGGATGCTTTACACAAGACTTGGCGTAGGTAATCCTCAGTTTTATGCAGCACCTAAAGAACATAAATATTTCACTGGGAACGTGCCAGTGGTTGTGCTGACCACAGCAAAAGCATCTCATGTGTCTAGTGCTGGGCCACATTTTCAGGAGGGCACACTGCTTAAAACAAAAGGCAATGCCAAGTGCCCTGAGGTTTAACAGACACATGCAAGGCAAGAACAGGGACGTGACACACTGTCACGTTCAGCTCTGAAGCTGCACATGTTTTAGCAACAGGTATCTAACGCTGTGATTCATCAAATAATTCCCTCTGGTGCAACAACTCCAGCAAAGGGAAATCTGTTATTTACTCACAGTATGAAGATCCTGAATCCTAACGTTTAGTCCTTCAACAACGGTCTGACGTTCCTCCGTGTTGTTGGGATAGGGATACACGTGACAGTGGTAGCTACAGACACACAAAGGTTGTGCTAAATAACCAAACTCACCCAAACCAAACCACCCATCCCTATGGCCTAGGCAAATCTGCCACACACCATTTAATAACCAGGGAGCAGATTCAGCTGAGGGAGTCAGTACTCTGCCTGTGCTTAGCCAGGACTGCAGGGAAAATGACTCACAGCACATTTATTTGTACACTGCAGAATCACAAAGCTAAATGAGGGGAGGGACAAACTGAACTTCAAAAACCTTGTCTAAAAATCAACACTTACAAGAAAGGAGAGCAGGGGAAAAAGCAGCTAGAAAATAACCCAGAGATAAAGAAATTATATACATTGATTTTACTTCTTACCAGTCACAAATCTTCTTAACTTTCTGGCCAATTTGTTCACCCCAATAGGACACTAAAAAAACAAACCACCTTGTGGCTTCACCCTGAAAAAGCAAAATGTTGATGAGGTTGGTTTTAACCAACAACTCCACAGTGATATAATGATAGAACAAAATAACAAACCTGAGTAATTACAGAAAGCTGTGTAAGTAACATTGACTTTCCACATTTTAGTGAGGATCAAACAATAAAATTCAAGTGTGTCAACATCCCTTTTACTTTTTTGTAGTAGAGAAAAAGAGAAAAAGGGTTTGGGGAAAATAAAAAAGAGATTTTACCATCTCAGAATTATTAGTAACAAAAAAGCCTAAAGACAATGTCACAAATCAGAAACAAAGCAAAAAAAAAAAAAAAAAAGTGACAGATTAGGCTGCTATAATTGCTGATCTGCAAAAAAGGGATTTTCTGAGTTCAGAGAAAAAACTTCACAGAAAACCAGCTGTACTTGACTCTCAGCCACTGAATGAAGCAGTAAAATGGCTATCAGAAGGCAAAGCACTCACAGACCTAGTTAATAAACACCCAAGCAGCCGTTTATGCCACGTGTTTTGACCAAGGAGCCAATGGTAAAGTCACTGCTATTCCCCAGTGAAGTTCTGCACTCATCAAGCTGAACCATGAAAAATTAACCCCCACTCCTAGAGTTCTGTTGACATCCAGACCTTGAATTTTACAGTCTTACAAGTTCTAACACTTTTAAATAGTTTTTCCTCCAAGGGCACTGGGAAATCACTTCCATCCTCTGTAGACAGACCTGAGCAACAATTCTTCCCAATTGTATGAAAAGTACACACAAAATAAACTGATCATTCCAAAGTTTACTCACTGTATCTGGATCTTCCAGGGACTCATCCAACTCTGCATAGGTAAGGATAGTGTAGCCTTTACAGACTCTCCAAAGCATTTTTTCAAACGCTTCAATTTTTGTTATGTGAACTAACCCAGAGATGAACCTATGGAAAAAGAGAAAGTTGAAAAATAAGTTCAAATCCACAAGAAAAAAGAAATCAGAAGCTCAGAGTACATCATCACTCAGGATCACCCAGTCAGAGTAATTTAACATCTGTCATGGCTAGAGGAGGAAGCATCACCCTGAACAGGAACTAACTGGTACCTAAAATACCAGTTGGCATATAAAATTTCTGTTTGGAAAATAAACAGACTGCAGGGCTGAGCACACAGCTAGAGTCACATCTAACCAGTTACTTCTGTGACAGTGAGGCTCTTTAATTGCTCCTTGGCAGGATACTCTCTCCTAAGGAGGCTGCAGACAGCAATATCCATTCAGCACTTTAAAGGGAGCACAGTGAATTATGCTACATTTACAGCTGACACTGCCAGGTGACTGAAACACTTGTGTTTATGCTAGCAAAAGAGTTTGAACAGCAGAAGGAAGTACTGATTTAAAAGATTTTCCTTTACACACATACTTGGCTTGGTGGAAGCTTTTTGATAGCTTTTTTTATCACTGTCCTACTTATCTCTTCAAACAATCTAGTTTTGTTGCAAAGGTACATTGAGGTCATAGAATCATAAAATCTAAGGGTTGGAATGAACCTTACAGATCTTCCAGTCCCAAGTCCCTGCCCTGGGTCAGGCTCTTAGCCTGTCTAGAACTGTTTTGCACATCTGTAATGACTACAGTCCACCTTTTAAGGGAACAACCCATTATTTACAGCAGCTCATCAAGCAGTTCTGAAAGAGCACACCCAGACAACCTGCCACATGTGGTCTGGCCCATACCTACCCCAGCTTGGCACCCAGTCTGTGCATGCAGTTGTAATCCACTAAGGGCTCGTTCTCCACAGATGGAAACTCTTCATAATTGGCATGTAAACGGGATTCATACTGGCAAACAAAAGAAAGACCATTCATAGCTTTCAGAGGAAAAAAAAACAACTTTCATTCCATTATTAGCCTAAAGAAAAGCTAATGAAGGAAATTATTTTGATAAAAATATAAAACCCCTTTCCATCTTCAATTCAGACAGGAGAGAGAACTTGGGATCTCAAGTGTACTGCCCTTAGCAATTACAGCCAGTGTTGGAAAATTACATTTCTTAGCACCATTTATGCATCAAAATAACACAACTACACCTTCCTTTTCAACTGGCACCAGCAGTAACAGTCAAAACAATTCACCAGAGAAGCTCCTCTAAATTCAGGGCTGCATTTTGCTGTGTGGATGGTCCCAGCCTGGCACAACCAGTAATGAGCAATGGACAGAGCTGCAAAGCCCAACACCAACTCAGGCACTAAACTACAACCCCTGACAACACCCAGCAAGGACACCCAACCCTTGTCAAACACCACAGGCAGTACCTCGGGTGTTCTCCTGACAAACCTCTGCGTGACATCTAACATGCACCGATATTCGGTCAGTTCCAGCAGGTTTCTCCTCAATTTTTCTTTGTTTTTAGTTATTTCCCTCAATTCTGACTCCAGCTTCTGCAGCTGCTCCTAAAACATGAAGGAAAACATGATACAGAATCAGTTACAATGTTTTGGGAAACAAGAGTAGAGTTAATTTTAAGCACATGTTAATTTGAAACAATAATGGGACTTTGCCAATGTCTTGATTAACTAAAGCTCCATAGGATTTATCCCTCAGCCTGCCCAAGATTGTATGGAGTAACCTTGATCCTCCACTGGCATCTGTTAATTCTGCTGTTCTGCCCCTCACTCTGCCCAAGTAATGCAGACCTGGAACTAGAACTGCAGACAGCACAGGGTGGAAGACACACATCTGTGCTGCTAACAGAACTACAACAAAACAGAATGTTGTTCAAAATTACATCTGTGCCTCCCAAGCTTCAACTTCTTATGCAACACCAGAGAAAGGATTCAGAGCAAGCAGCACCATGTTTTGCTGTGCAACCAGCACTGCAATGTGCAGAGCCTTGGGTATATAAAACTCCCACACACCTGGAAGTTTTGGAGGCACAAAGAGTCTTAGGTAAATCCCAAGGCAATAAATGAGGCTGAGGGACAACAACAGCAATTTGCCTGGAACAGTGTAATATGCTCATCCATCAAAATATAACAGCTGACTGCACATCCTGTGAGCTAGCACTGACCCTTTCACAGGAATTTTGTGCTGATATCAAAACCTCACTGGCAGGCTTGGAATTAACACTGGCATGAAGGGAAACTCCCAGACAAGAAAGGGAAGCAAATGCCTTGGCCCCCCTGCCACACCTTTATAACTTAAATCATAAGCAATGACAGCAAGTAATTAAGTCTGAAATTAAGCTCCAAGACCCAGAGCTACACTTTTGGCATCTGCTTAGTGGAAAAGTTACCTGGATTTCTAAAGTGTGTTTCAGCAAAGGTGCAGGAGGGGCAACATCTCCTTCAGGAAGTGGAATATCTGCCTTTTTAATTTCTTGTACTAAATACCCTGGAGCAAGAAGAAAAACAGAATCAGAAAGGAAACTGCATTGCCTTACACTTCCCAGTACACTGCAGAGTTGACCTTCAGCTGTTATTGATGGTGCTGATCACACTGCAGCATCAGGCCCTGCATAATATATTCACTCATTTTAACACCACACACTTGAGCCCTCAGAAATGAGGGGCTGACAGAGTGCTGGAGATAAAGCACACAGAACACTCCTGCCTTGAGAGTTTGCAGAAATAAGTGAACTTCAGAGTTCTCTGACTGAGATTTTCCAACCACAAGTACTTTGTAAGAAGCTTTTAACATTTCATAGTGCCCCTTTGTTGCTGCACAGTATCACTTTCTGCTAATCACACCATTTGCCAGCACCCACGTTCTGCTCACTGACCCATGGTTGGAATAAAAAGTGTTCAAACAAGGCAGCTTAGGCAACCTGCACAACAAATGCAACTCACACTGGGCAGGGAGATTGCCAGAATAGCTGCTGGCATGGTTTGGCATGACCAGCACATGTCTCTGACTGGAGATTCCAATTAAAGGAATCCTTCAGTGGTAACTTTTCCTCAGGATACACTGAAGACATCAGCATCCTGGCTGCAGTGCTCTGCATACCCTTCTCTGTTCATTAACTACCATGAGAACACAGTAATTACTAATAACCTGAGGTATTTTTGAGGGTGCTTGGAAGTTAAACTGTATTGAATTACACAACATGAAAAAAAACAGGGAATGTCTTACAGTCAGAGAGTAAAAATTGCATTTTCCTTGCTGAGTTTCAGGCAGTCAGTACTGAAATGGTCTTAACTATTTATCATCAACACATTAGCAACTCTTCTTCATCTCTGAGCCTAAAAAAACCCACCCTGTATTTAGTGGAAATAAGTTTCACAGCTCACAAAATTTTATACCATTCTGCAGCATTTAGGTCACACAAGACTAGGAAGATTACAGAAACCTGTAGCTGAAACTTTCATCTAGCTCCACTCTAGCAATGTAAACTCTAATAAAACCACAGGTGAGAAAGGGCAGACATGAAAACAAAGCTCACCAAGTATTCTTTCCATCTCTTCACACTTCTTCACTTCGTTCACATATTTTCTCTGAAATACACTTACATTTGGGTTAAGCTGAAGGAGAAGGACAAAATGTTTATTAGGGATTCAAAACAGCAACTGACCCTAAAAAACCACAGCTGTTTCTGTGCTTCCTGGAGACAACTTGCACATACTCTGTGTGCTATTTGTAAAGTGCTTTTCAAGTAAAAAAACCTAAACAGATTTAAAAAGTCTTCCAAGAGCAGAGTTGGTTTTATTAAAGCAGAATTATCCATGTCTTTTGCTGGTTGTACTCACACAAAACATTAACTACTGGAGAAACCATTTCTAACCCTATTTCTGCAGTGTTAAAATATTGCTGAAGGATTTCAAATTAACAAACCTTTCTACAAGCAAATTTGAGGCCATTTTTTCCACAAAATCTATTTGAAATATTCAGTTTTGAAGGAATCTTTTTACATACATCCCCAAACTATGAGTGTGCAATGTCTCTGACAATTTCTTCAGCTTTTAAATTATAACTAATGGGTTATTTCTAGAACAAATGGTGTGTCAGGGAATTGGAACTGGCATCAAAATGTTAAACATACATTCATGTAACAATTCTTACAGCTCTGCCTCCTCCTCCCTGCCACATTTACTGTTAATTTCAGTTCTCTCAGCTTTCCCTGCAAAGATTTTGCAACCTACATTTCTAATGTCTGTTTGGAAGACATTCCAAAGTCTCAAACAGCAAGCAAAGATCATAATTACAATGAGACAACACAGAAACAAAGTTAATTATTGCCCAACCCAACTTTATGTTAGGCAGGCAGGTAGTTTCCTCCAAGGTGAGCTGCTCCTCCAGGAACAGAAGTGCTTCACACAGCAATCTGTGATGCTGGAGAAACAAACCTACAGAGCAGCTGTTTCTATCAGGCTGTCCTGGGGTGGACACACCAATGAGCTGTGCACACACTCAGACTGAAGGCAGTGAGGTGCAGGGGGGGCAGGGGCTCTCCCATGGGATCCTGCTGCAAAGAACCCCAAGTTTGTGCTACTTCTATGAGAAAGGCTGGACACAGCCAACCCACAGCACCCTCCTGAGAGTGCCAGGAAGCCTCACTGGGTTCCCATCACCCATCCCTGGCCAGTGCCATACAGGGATTGGCCACACACCGGTGAGTAGGGGACAGATGGGAACAGAAGTGGTGCTGGAGTCTTCCACATAGAATCATCAGGGGTGCAAGAGACCTTTAAGATCACCAAGTCCAACCATTAACCTGCCACTCTGCTGTAACCCCCAAACCATATCCTCCAGCATCAGATCCAGATGCCTCTTAAACACTTCCAGGGATGGTGACTCTACCACCTCCCTGGGCAATATTCCAGTGCGTTGGAATTGTTGCCCTCTTGGAGGTCTTTTCCAACCCAGATGATTCTATGATTCAAACACCTTCAGGGATGGTGACTCCACCACCTCCCTGGGCCACAACCCAGTGCCTAACAGGGGGAAAACTCTCTCTCCAACATCTCCTCTGCCTCTCCCCTATCTCAGCTCACTGCCGTTCCCTCTAACCCTCTCCCCGCACGGCAGAACAGACCA